CCACTCTCCTTCCTCTCTGCATGGCTTCTTCAGCAGAGGGCAGGATTTTGCACTAACACTTTAAGACACCACTACAGTGAGCCTATTCATAGGCAAACCTCACTGGGTCCAGGTTTGATACACAAACCATCTTGATCTGAAAAGTTCACAGCCAGGTTCAGATACATTTGGTGGTACCACAGGAAAGTCATTTCTGAGGATGGCTGGATAGCAGGTGTATCATGATGACTGCTACCCATTTGATGTACACTGTGCACATGGTTGGTCTGTGCTGAAAACATCATATGACCATTATTCCCTCATCCCACAACAAAACCTGGCATCATTCTCATTTTGACTTTGGGGGAAAGAGCTTACATCAGTTCTTTGAAGCTAAAAGTCAGCTTCTGCTTTATCCTTTTGTGGGTGCACAGAAAAGGACTAAAAATGCAGTGAGCTTTTTTGCTTGCCTGGCCCAGACTTCAGAAAGCCGGAGAAAATGTCCTTACCTGTGTTCTGAGATGTGAATGTCATCCTTGTGCATGGAGCCAGTGCAAACGCTGACAATGTTTGAATTCAGTTTCATTTTCCAAATAGGATGTAAGGGATACATGGGCCTTTTGCTGGGCTGGCCTTCTGCTCAGAGGGGTGAACTTTGTAGTGGTGACACTACAAGAAGCCAATTTAGTTCTCAAGATGGGGCCAAAGTGCTATATGGCTCTGATGCTGGGATGAGTTCTGCATAGTGTGACATTTGCCCTTTACACCTGTGCATTTCTTTGGTTTGTTTGTTTTAAATTAAAGTGCAGTCACTTTTTGCAGGGAAGGCTTTTGCCAGAAGTTGGTTTAAGGAGCAGTGGGAATGAACTAAGAGTGCATTCCAGGCATATGGTTAAAGCTTAAGGATAATAAGCCAGTGATGTTTATACCTAAAAATAATTCACCTTTGAGAGCAGAGTTGGCATAGAAACTACTAGTGCAAGACCCCAGATGAGATTTTAATGTTTTTATTTCAAAATTTGATTTCGGGTAGAGTTCTATGCTTCTGCAAGAACTAAAAAATGCAGGCTGAATCCTACAGAGTGAAAGATACTCATGAAAACCAATTGTCCTAACAGCTATTGATAGGAGTGACCATGAGGTATTGCTTTGGCACAAAGATTGCTGTTGTGTCTGGGACTGACCTTTAGTAGTTCCAATTGCTCCTGGAAGATAGGAGCCAGCTGGTGTTTCTACATCACCAGTGAGACATATGGTATGTAATATCCTTTGTTCAACTCAACAAGATAATTTCTGACTTAATCTCAGGTAATCAGTGTCTTGATGATGCACATCTAGATGTCTTCTGAGTTGGCAACCTTGATGGGTACCTGGAGAATATCTGAACAATTCCTCCATCAGAGCTTTATCTCATTCCCAGTCTTGAGAAGCCAGAAGCCTTGCTGGCTGTCCTCACTATGAGAGGGATCCTATTTCTGTACTTTTTAGAAGTAAGGTTATTCCCTATGTTATTTCAAGTCACGCGTTGGATATACTGAAATATTATTGTTTGCTTTTTCATGTGGACATGTTGTTCAGGCTACACCCTTACTTTATCCTATAAAACTTTTGCAATAGCAACAGAGAAAACTTCCTCCTAAGTTAGGATTTCTCCAACACCTGCTGCCTGTGTCAAAAGGACAGACCATCTATTCTATGGACAAGATTTTGCCCACTTTGCTTTCACTACTGGTTGCAGACACGCTGCTGGGATTTTAACCTTCTGACTTTTAAAGCCCTTAATGGTACAGAACTTGCTTCTGTTTAAGACTGTCTGCTTCAGACACATGCTTATGGATACTTCGACTCTCATGTCATGTGCATCTAGGAATTTCCCTCACAACTCTGCACAAGGGGATAGGCTACACTTCTGCTGTGTGAGAGGGTGGAGGTAGACTTCACTTCCACTCTTCAGCCATACTCCCCTTTCTTAGAACAGGCAACTGAAAGTGAAGCTCTGGCAAAGGTGCATATTCACTGATAACCCTTAATGGCTAGGTACAGGCATTCAAAACTCCCAAAGTGTTACTCTGCCAAGGTGTATGTGATTTTCTGTAAGTGGGGTAGTTAGATTGGTAACAGGTTGGGGCGGTGGGGGGGGATGCAAATCTTAGATGAGGTTCTGCCATTTTTAAACCAGTCTATGTGTGCTGAACTTCTGTTCTGTTGTGGGTACAGACCAATTTCTGATTACTTATACTGGTAAAAGTGTAATTTCTGTACCTGGCCTTACAGTAGCATAATGGGGACTGGGGGCTGACTTAGGCCCCAGCCCTGGGCACTGAACCTGGTGGTAGGGATTGTAAAAATAGCAGCAGCTGCATTGCTGACCGGGCCACTGTTGCTGCTACCAATAGCACAGCCCTTGATGCTGCCCTATGCACAGCTGATGCCCAGGACACTCAAGCATCTAGTCATGCCTCTGCCTTTTTAGATAATGCTTTCCCATTGTCCTCCCCCCCCGACAGTATCTCATCCATTCTCTATATTATCTTTATTGTGCTTTATAACTTGTAATAATGCACCCTAAGCATAAGATGCCTAAGGAGGAAGGACACTTTAAACATAGTTATTATTGCATTGGAATAATCTTTGGAGATTACTGTTGTCCAGCTCTGAGTTACTATCCACATTTAGTCATATAGGTGTGTGTGTGTGTGCGTGCGTGCGCACGCACGCACACACACACACACGGGCTCCTAGCTCACTTATTTAAGATTTGACAATGCTATATGGAAACTTTCCTCTCAACCACAAGTTATTGGGCTGGATACAAAAAAAGACTCTTGCTAAACACCAGTGCTTGATGTCATGCGACTGGAACTCATCTTTTAGGAAAACTAAGATTCTAGCTGTCATGGCTATGAAGAAAACACTGAGAAGGTGACTGGAGTGTACCTAGCCTGGTAATGCTGCCTGTGTCTGTATACAGCCTGAAACAATAGGTCTGTGCAAGGTGAACCATCTCATGGGGGTGCTTGGGTCTGAAGCCTTCCACTCTGGAGTATCACACTAACCATCCCAGCACATACACCTTGGCTGTACCCACTCTCTGCTACTCATACTACTGTGGTGGGGAGAGTCAGCCCTTGCTAACCTCCAAGGAAAGAGTTACAGGTGCATAGCCCTAGAGGGGCGGCTTATGTCATGGCATACTTACAGTCCTGGATGGCTTTAATTTAACCCTGGCCTGTGGCCTGTGTCATACAGAAAGGCAGACATCATAAGGTCAGTGGTCTTTCTGCCCCAGGATTCACATCAAAGCAGAGAGAACGATGCTGCTACCCCCTGCACCCGCTGCTGCTAGTGAAGTCTGTTAGATGCATGTACCTAGGAGAGCTGTTGAACAGAAGCACGGGAACTCAAAACAAATCCTGCCAGGAGCCCACCCCCACGCAAAGAGGTGTTCATGTAGGAAGAATAAGCTTACCTAGGCAATAACAGTAACCATGACAATGTCAGCAACATGGCCTTAGCTTCAGTGAAGTGTTAGCAAGGATGAATGTGTTTCAGTCTCAAGAGTATTTATCAACAGTTTCTGAAAGGGCTGATGATATGTTAATAAGCTCGTCCTTTTATCTAGTTCTTCAAAGATTGGTATAAGGCACGACCTATTTTCTTTGGCAATCACTTGAGGGAAAAATTGTCTGTAAAAACCCAGGAAGGTTTGCTGGAGGAAGAACTGTCTCAAAGAGCTTGTATAAAACAAAGAGACAGCACATGCACCCCGCATGGCCTAATCTTAGTTGGGACCACCAGATGCTGCTGCTTCATCATGGCCAGAAAACATCTTATTCTCTACTGTGTATATACAAAGAAGCCTTAGCTCCACTAAGCCATGCACATTGTTAATTGTAACTCAGTATTTCTCCAGCAGATGCCTGCCTGTTTTGCTGAGAAGCAAGATTCAAATGCTATTCATTTAAAAAAAAAAATATATGTGTTTTACCTCACACCCCAGGGCCTGGTTGTAACATGTCAAGATAATATCAGGGAGAGGCTTGCTGTGTGCCTGCATGTGTCATACCTATGCCACATGAAAAAAGAGGACCTCATTTTCAAGAGCTGCCAGCTTGACATCTTTTATGAGCCCTACTGTAGATTATAGATGATGATCAAGAGGAAGCGTGCAGAGGGGTAGAGGTGCTGTCTGATAGATGCTCATATAGTTAGAAATTATTGAGGGGAAGGTACCTGCATTTGGGAACAAAAATAATAAAGTTAAATTCAAATCCAGGGGGCTGTAGACCTAGATGAACTAGGAGATGCCATGGGGCCAGCCTGCCTGCTCTGGAAGGAGATGACTATCAGGAGATTGGGTCTGACAAATTTCATGTTTGAGGGAGTCTCAGACCAGCAGAGACTCGTTGTGCCCGAAGAAGGGTGAGTGCACCAGAAAGCTTGCTAAGAACTTTTTTTCCAACTATGCAGTTGGTTTAATAAAAGATATCACACCTACTCTAAGAACCTTGCCTGCCTACATCCTTAGACCAACACGACTACAACCAAAAACCCATGTTTGAGGGATACTCTCTCAGTGGAGGCTCCAAGAGGAGATTGGACAGATTAACAACAGACATGGTCCTCACAAGCAAAAAGGGATAGTAAAAACAGCTTGGACATTTAAGGAAAAGGCCTGAGAAGTGGTGAGTTAAGGGCAGAGGAGCTGATATGCGACCCATGGAGGGAGGACAAGAAAGGTATGGAGGAACTGAGGGGAGGGAATTGTTGACTAGAGAGGAGAAGGAAGGAAGTAAGGAATTCTTCCCTTTGACCTGTTGGCTGAGTAGAAAAGTCCTTTCTCTGTGTTCCTGCATGGTATTCAATACCTCATGCTGACATTAGACGAGGGGGATGTTTTCTTTTAATTTAATAGAGTTCGTCTTTATTGTTTGCCTGTAATGTGGAATAATGGGTCAATACAGATGGAGTTGCATCAGTCTTTAACTCTAAAAAGTATGACGGTGTTCTTTTGAAACTGATGGCATTACAGTAACCACAGACACAAAGGTTACACTATATTGTTAGGCATTTAGATTGCTCTTAGTTACCAGCCAATATTTAACTTTCCAGGAGAGATTAGATTTAACATTTTATTTAATATAAACATAGGACACAGAGTACAGTACAGTTATTTGGCTGAGAAATGTTTATAACCCAGTGCAAAATGAAGTTCCTTGAAGTTTAAGGTTTCTCTGTTCCTTTTAAGAGCATAACAATATTATCTGGTGGAGTTCTAAAATCTCAGTCATTGCGGTGATTTTCATTCCACAGGAGCACAGATAAGGTAAGTTTTTCCTGATAGTTCTTCATCACGTATAGAAAAATCACACTTTGTATTTTAAATAATTTCTGCCAAATAGCAAAAATTGAGAGGCAAATGGAATTTGCATGGCAATTTTTAAGATTTAAAAAATGTTTACTTCTCAGCACCAAAAATCAATAGCATTTTCTTAATCCCATGCAATTGTGCAAGCCTGAGTATAAACACATAAACACGTGTATACATACATACATTCATATGTTTATACTCATGTTCGCACAATACATACACACATACACATTTGATATGTGTGCGTTTATAGATATAAATATATCTACGTATATCATGCTCACACTATTGCACAAGATTAAGAGAACGCTATTTTTTTTAGTGCTGATAAATAAATATATATACATAGATCTTTCTCTCTTGCTCTCTTTCTCTGTCTCTCTCTCACTATATATAAGGACTTCTTCCTTGCATCTCTAGAGCCTATTTTAATAACATTTGCAGCAGCAGGACACATACCACTATTGTTCCTCTGCTTTACTTATAATAGGTTAGGGTTCTATGCCTTGTAGTTATGCAACAAGGTTGATTGTGTAGATTTAGTAATAAACGTAGATGAGGATTTGCTTGGGATAGTTTGGATAGGGATTATCCTGCTTCAGGCATGGGATTCAACTACATGACCTCCAGAGGTCCCTTCCAGCCCTACTTTTCTATGATTCTGATTCATATATATATGATTTTATATATAATATATGCATATATATATGTATGTATGTATATATGTGTGTGTGTGTGTGTGTGTGTGTGTGTATGGGTGTGTGTGTATGGATCTCCCAAATTATGAAATACATAACTCTATATACTGAAGAAGAAAATAACTGATGTTAGGAAGTGATTTAATTCCTGATAAAAAGATATAACAAGGATGAGGAGCGGAAAGTAGGAGAATTCAAATTGGAAATAAAGTGCAAATTTTTATCAGGAAGGACAGTTCAGCTTTGCAGCTGCTCATCAAGCAATATAGTGAATTTATTATCCCTTGAAGCCTTTACAGTGAGACTGAGTGGTTTTCTAAAAAATAGATCTACATAGCTTAAACACAGGTTATTGGGCTTGATAGTTTTTCCTCGCATGGCATCAGAAAATAATTTCTTCCACTGAAGGAATCATCGCGGGAAATTCAATCATTTGAAGGTCATGCTGGAGGTTAAACTGGAAGATCATGCTTGTCCCGTCTAGTCTTAAAAGCCTACAGCTGACTAATCCAATCAGAGGTTTTACTTCTATTTTAAATAAGCAAATTTTAGGAAATAAAATGCAGAGATTGAATTGGGTTTTGATTAACCTTCCTAGAGTTGGTGTTTACTGCAGCAGCCTGCTTGAGGTAGCACACCTCAGTTACCCCACTCAATTTAGTTTAGCTTCAGTGACAGAGACCCTACTGAAAAATAACACTGGAGTTTTGTAATGGTGTTTAATAGTGTCACAGGAAAACTGGCACCTCAGAGCAATTGAATTAACTATTGCCAAATAGCCATAATGCAAGCAGCCGTGTTCCCACTGAACTAGACTGTTAATATCCCTCCCCCTCTCTCCCCCACTCCCCCCAACCATAGGCAGCTAGCCTGCGTTTAAAGCCCCTCTTGATTTGTGTGTGGATGGAAGCCAGGTAAGGGGAAAAATTCAGGGTCTATCTTGAGCTAACAATGCAGCGAAACAGGACTTTAGACAAAGGAAAGCTAAATGTATGGCTCTCTCTCATCCTGATACAACTGAAATGCACAGATAGAAATGCATTAAACACACTGTACTACCCAGTGGTGCCAAATATTACTTAAGCAAAGGGAGGCAAATTCAGCCCCTGACTTGATGGCTGCCAAGGCTCTGCTACTAACTGTGGCAATTCCAGCATGTAACTGGGGGCAGAATTTTACAGGGAGTATCTTTAAAGGTGTGCAACCCATAGTCTTGGTCAGCTGTGCAGCAAGGAAGGGACAGGTGGGGTTCAGCACAAGAGCAAACTTCAGGATAGCTGGGATAGGACCAGAAAATATGCTGCTGCACAGATGCTGTTTCCATTTTGTCCCTGCTACTCATGGGAGTTCAAAGACCAGAGAAGCTATTCCAGATGGTGGGAGGCAATGCCTTTCACTGAGTGCTTCTATAGGTACTTCCTAGCATGGGGATAGGATTCCTTCCTCCTGCCCCTCGCCCATCTTTCTGGCAGTCAGCTACCACTTAGGAGTTGTACATTTGAATACTATGCACTGGCCCAGGGGTGTCAAACATATGGCCTGCCCACAGAGTCGTGTCATCTGGTTAGTGAGGCTCCCAGAAACTTGAGGGGAGGCAAGTGGGAGTGGGGCCTCTGCCAAAATCTGGGCTATGAGATCCTGTTGGTGATGCATATCAGTAGTGGCGGGTCAATCAATAGCTGTATTAACTCTTGTCCAAATCCAGTCCACAAAAAGTCTCATGGATCTGGCCCGGGGTGGGGTGCATTTATCACCCCTGCTCTAGCAAATGTGAATGTGTATGTGTGTACGACTGTGTTTGTGAGTGTATATCCTAAGTTTTTTTTAATGAAGCAAGAACTGCAGGGCCAAATTCTGTGCTTCAGGGCCAAATTCTGTGCCAAAACCTGGTGTAATGTCACTGACATGAATGGGAGCCACTCAGTGCATAATCTCACTATTCATATTGGGCCTAACCCTAAGTGTCTTATTATGTATTAAGTCCTTTCATCTGCAAAGCTCCCACTCTCTTCCTTGAGAGTTTGCCTAAGTACAGAAATTGGTCTGCCTTAGTCACAGTGGACAGATGGGCCATTTCAACTCAGGTGAACTTCTGACCTCAACTGAGCTGAATTAAGAGGTGGGAAAGGACCTCCTTTGTCCTTTGAACATATTGTAAAATTCAGGAACTTGAGGTCAGATCTTCAGGCGGTCTGAACTGGCACTTCATTTTCTACTAGCTTAGCACATGAATCTTTTCATCATTATGGTACAAAAATTAAAACAAAAAATCCTTTCATCTTTAGTAGCAGTGAACTGGAAACATGGGTGATATACGCAACTTCACACAGGCATTGGAAAATGTTTTCAAAGAGATATTTCTTAACTACATGAATGGCTGGAGGAACAACGTGACAGCAGAACAAGATGCACTGCAAGAACGAGTCAACGCTGAAAACTTCGACTATGTTATCTTGTACCTGATGGTGATGATTGGCATGTTCTCCTTCATTATTGTGGCTATCCTGGTCAGCACGGTGAAGTCAAAGAGGCAAGAGCACTCTGATGACCCATATCATCAGTACATTGTGGATGACTGGGGAGAAAAGTATAAGAGCCAGATCCAGAATAGAGAAAACTTTAAGTGTATAGTCCATGAAAACCTTGGTGCAAGGGAGAAAATGAGCTCACCTTGACTTATCTGAGACTGTAATAGTGGACAAATCATAAAGTACTGCCTATTGATTTTGTAAGGATTTTAGTTGCCATTACACTATTAGCTGAGTATACAGAGATATAAAGGCATAAATTGTTCCAGGAAAATAAAGTTTACTGGCATGCTGGAAGATCTTTGGGTGAGACTGCTTAGTGGGTTGTCCAGGAAAGATTCTGTTTTAGATTTTTATTCTGCTTGGTTTAAAGAGGAACCGAAGGTACAATTCCAATGAAAAACACCCCCAAATTGGAGTGGATTTGAAATCCAGATAAGGATCTGGATCTGAATGGTCTAAAGCTAAGTCAGGGGTGTTAAACATTACAGCTTGTGGGCTGGGTCAAGCCTGTGAAACCCTGCCCTCAGGTATGAGCAGGCCCACATGGGGCATAGGTCTGGCCCATGGACCCCCTTCTCCCTTCACTGTTCCTTCCCCCAACATACCAGATCTGGCAGTCACTCCAGCCATTCTGGGACCTACACTGCATGTGGCACAGATCCTGGAGCAGCCAGAAGAAGCTCTGCATGCAGCACAGTCTAGCCAGGGGTGAATAGTGCAGATCCCAGACTGGCTGGAGCAGGCACCATACTATAGGCAGGGTCTTCCCTGCCTGAACTGAGTTACGCACATTGCCCGCTCTGGAATACATACTACACAAGGTGTCCACCTTGGCAGCTCCAAGACTGCACTGTGTATGATATTGTTCCCAGATTGGGCACTGTGTGTGGCACAGTCTGGCTGGGATGGGCACCATGTGTAGCAGGATGCCTACTCTGGCTGGCCTGGGATTTGTGCTATATGCCTCTGGCAGCACTATACCACATGCAGCACCCATTCTGGCTACTCCAGGTTCTGTGCCACACACAATGTGAGTACCAGACCAGCTGCAGCCGCTACCAGGTCATGTATCCTGGGGAAAGGGGCAGGGGACAGGGTCTGTGGACCTGCTCTGTGCCACTGATCTGGCCTGTGGGACCAGAGGAGTTTGACACTCCTGGTATAAATCCTTAGACCTGAATACATATGAACTTTGTACATATGAACTTTGAGGTGATTAGCATTTGGATCATGATCCAAATAGTGTAGTTTGAGCCCACCTTTAAAAAAATAAGCAAATAAAAATATAAGTATATACACACATTTTTAAACAAATATTCTACATGTTACATCATAGCAGGTAATTCATTACACCTATATCCATTAAATATAAATAACACTGGCTTTACTGCATATGTTTCCATTAGCTCTTATTTTGATTTTGTTCCAGATCAACAGCAAGGATTTAAGATACAGCATCTCAAAGGAGTCCAGTTTTAAAGTAACAACAGTACTTTAAAAGTCACCACTGTGACTTAAGTCGGTAGAGAGGGAAACCTTTTCTGATGTGATTTTTGAAATGTAAAACTCTTACCTCTTGAAGATATTCTTACCCTGCAATTTGTATGTGGCTATTAGGACCCTGGGCACCAATAACGTGTGTGTGTGTGTGTGTGTGTGTGTGTGTGTGTGTGTGTGTGTGTGTGTGTGTGTGTGTGTGTGTGTGTGTGTGTGTGTGTGTGTGTGTGTGTGTGTGTGTGTGTAAGCCAGTATCCTACACATAGGATCCAAGCTTCCTGCCTGCCATACAGGTGTGCTTTTTCTTGTCTCAAGTGTAGGCTTCTGCTCATGGGAATGGGTGTTCTTGAGGTCTTGAAGTTGAAGCTGTATTTTCTCCTGTGTTAGTGAAGCACCACAGCATGTCCCTAGGTAATACTGCTAATTATAAGCAGACCTTCTAGGACCATTGGTAGGTTATGTTTCCTGAAATTTCTCATCTGTTTTCTTATAGTGCCAAGCTTTAACCATTCAAGCTGAAACTGGCCATGTCAGGTGTCTGCCTCAGGGGGATTTTCTTCTTCAGATTTTTCAGGCGAGACCTATCCATTATTTGTGATAAATTTATGCTGAGGGTCAGAGCTTATTGATGTATGCCCAGCTCAACACTAGGGCAGCAAAACTTTATCCAAGTCAGGTGCACACTCAGTGGGCATGTATACATGTGCAACTGATGCAACTGAATCAACTGTGGAGCAATTTGTACTACAGCCAGCTACTCCCACAGCATTTACACATGTGCCCTGGACAGCAGCAAATTGAGCTGGGGAGGAACAGATTAGGCCAGGACTGCTCCTGCCCCGTTTGGTCCTCCCTGCAGCAGCCAGAGGGAGCTGCAGGCTCCAGTCAGAGATGCCTGGGTGCCAGCACCAGGCTGACAGAAAGCATGGGCGTGAGCCCCAGGCTCTGGCTGGCTGCAGCAGTGTGGTCCAGGGTCCGGGGGCAAACCTGGGCTGGCAAGGGGCACAGGGGTCATGGGTGGCACAGGTGGCTGCATCAGGTGGCAGAGGATCTGGCTAGGTAATGAGGCTCCTACAGGTGCTGACCCATGTGGCTAAGCAGTAGGCAGGAGTGTGGGTCCTGCTGGCTGGGCTGACTAGGTACAATTTACACCCAGGTCAGCATCTGTACATACATTGCTGTACAATAAATAACAACTCTGTAGTAGGACACTGCTTATATTTATTACAAGTTTATTAGCTTCTGCAACCTAATAGCCCTGCATGTGTAGATGCAAGATGTTTACCCTGGGGCGAATTAGGCAACTCCACAGTAAATGTTTCATGTAGATGTTCCCAATATGGTACTGCCTAGTGCTGTAACTGAGCATTATGGGCATGCCCTCCCATTTAGCTTGAATGTAAGGGCTCATCTCACTCTCATTCAATAGGATTCAGGCCAACAATCCATAACTGTAATAAGTTTCATAGTTAAAGGGTTTTCCTTTTTCTGGCCTCTCTGAGAACAGGCCCCAGGAGTTGCACCTTTAACGCTCTTGAGGTGGAATTCTACAGTTCTTCTAACACAAGGCTCAAAGCAGAGTATCCTGGGCATGTCTACATGTGCAAGTAATGCACATGAATAAACTCCAGAGCTTGTACCTCTGGGGGTTTTCGCTCCAGACGCATCGTTTGAACATGCACCCAGGAGCAATAAACTTCAGAGCAATTAGCTCCAGAGTTTATTCATGCATAGCACATGGAGCCTGGTGTGACCAATGACACATTAATGCACATGTAGACACTCCCACTGTGTTTAAAGGAATACTGTCAGGCTGAAACTCAACATATTTAATTAATATCCCCATTGTGGCACATAACACCAGTTTTATTCACAATGACCTGGGGAAAGGGGGTTATTTATTTATTTACTGAATTCATATCCTATCCTGTACAAAAGGCTCAGAGCAGTTTACAACAAAACAAAACAAAACAAAACAACCAACCCAAATGAAAAAGCAATTCCAGGTGGTTTTTGAAATGGAGAGACAAACCTATCACCTGGCACAGCCAGTGTAAGTGTAAGTTACTGAGCTCAGTGAAGCTGTGCCCTTTTACTCCACCAAACATCAGGTCGTATCTGTCCAGGCCAATAGCATGGAATTTCTATTACAGCAGTGATTTAAAAGCTTTTTGAAAAAAAAGAAAGAAAGTTGCCTAGATCTTCCTTATGATCAGTTTGTCCTGGATTCATTCTCATAGTTTTCCTCATGCTAGGAAATGGGGTAGGCTTCTGTCTTCTCCCCTAGAGCGATGTTCCAGTGCACTGGACTGGGGCTCAGGAGACAAGGGCTCAACTTCCTGCTCAGTCACCCCCCTGTAATCACTTGATATGCACTTAGCGGCCACCCAGATTTAAGGAGGGCTTTTAGCTTTACTTGGTGGACAACAGCCCATGCTCTCAATGCACATCAGATAGGCCTGCGCAGTTACATGCTTCCCATGTGAGCGTGGGCAAATTAACCAGCACCATTTCAGCTTCCCACTTGTGAGATGGATGTGCTACTTCATCGGGCATTGTAAGGATAAAAAAACACTAAGGATTAGGAGGTGCCCAGATCCCGCAGTTTTTGAAGAAACCGGAGCGTGCTATACAGGATTTTTTTTTGTCTTTTCTTGTTATTCCTGATGTGGGGAAGACAGCGATGAGACCAGTAAGGAACTCAGACCTAAATTGTTCTTAAATGTTACATGGCCTTGGTTTTTAAGGCTCAAAAAGCAGACAGCAGATACACTTGTAAAAAGACATCTATCTTCCTTATGGAGAGGATACACAGGGCTGTTATTAGGAGATGTTCTGGGTTGCCTTTCTTTTCAAGAGCCAGAGACTGAGCTCTGTGAGCAACACTTCAGCAGCTGTCACTCCACAGGACCAGTTACTGTCATTCCTGGGGTTAAACCTGCCCAGGCTCCCAGCCTGTCATTGCTTGCACTGGAAAGGGAGATGGAGAATGAAGAGTTACCAGCCTGATTTCTTTTTGACTGCAGCCTTCTGGGAGCTGTAGTTTGCAAGCCATGAGACTGCTGGGAACTGTAGTGTGGTTTCACTTGCCCTGCCTGCTTAATGGCTGCTTGCTGGAAGGTAATGTATTGATCCGTTTCCTTCGAGTATCTTTGGGGTTTTGAAATCAGCAAATGACTCAGCAGCCTGGGCCTGGATGTTGGCCTCTGAGCTGACAATGCAAGCTCAAAAAGAAGTGTGTTTCGAGGAGAGTCATGTTGCTCTCAGGGCAGGATGGGAAACAGGCTGAGCTCCAAAATTGGTTAAACAAGGAAGCACACCACCAGTCCCCTTCCTCCCCCATCTGGCAACTGCTAAACAAAGTTGGCTGTTGTTTTAAAATTCAGTGGGAGCCCATTTAGCTGATTTTGTTGTCACCCCTCTGCACTGGTGGCGAGCCCAGACAGTGCTACCACGTTCTGGTGCCTGAGACCCTAACCTGAAATTGGCCAGAGCCTGGATAGTTTCACTTTTGCTTGGTTTCCCTGTAAGTTGAGTGAAGGAAATAAATAGCAGAAATAAGGATTTTAAATGACCGTGCATTGCGGGAAAAAAAAAGCAGTGTCCCAAACAGTGCACGTAGAATTTGAGTGTAGCAGCGTGGTGGGGTGGGGGGCGTCCCTAAGTGATAAGGAAGGACAGTGGCTAGGATACAGAGGACTGGGGTTGGGGAGGGAGGGGGGGTAGGGAGCCTAAGGTGGCCACGGCAGGACAAGACAGAAGAGTAGGGGGGGG